ATTAGAAGTGCAGCTTAAATCATAACACATTTGAACTTGATCTTTTCCTGCAGCTAAGCGTATGCTAAAAAAAAGAAATTGGGTAAGCGGATGTTACAGCATCCATGATCCATGGATGTGAGTTGAAGGCAGTGACACTGATAGCAATTCTTAAGTTACTGTTCATACCAGTGTATGTAGGTATATTGTGATCAAGATTAACTTGCCATGTGAAAATGTAATAGTACAGTTGTAAAAGGACTTAACGGTCAACGTGGGTCCTGATCGCTGTCACCGCTTGGCTAAGATACCTCAGACGGGCATTACTGGGGCTTCCTTGTGTGGCTCAAGCAGTAAAGAATCTGCCTGCAATGCTGGAGACCCAGGTTCAATCTCTGGGTCGGAAGATCCCCTGGAGAAGGGAATGGCTACCCATTCCAGTATCTTTGCCTGGAGAATCCCATGGACAGAGGAGTCTGAAGAGCTACAGCCCATGAAGTCGCAGAGTCTGGGTAGGATGCCTTGAAAAAGAGGGAAAAAATAATGCCATATAGTAGAGGGCTATTTGAAAACAAGGACTGTTTTTGTATTTCCACATGCCTGGTATTGGTACCTGCCACAGAGCAGATAATCAATATGTGTTACATTATTGATTTCTGATAAAACATAAGCCTTTAAATATATCACAAAGTATTTAAAACTTAATAATGTTGCATCTTTGTGTATATATTACTTCTTTAAACCCAGAAAAGAGAATCTTGACCTAGAATTCGTTGTTTCAGTTGCTGCTATGTTTATGATCACTATTCCTTTGCTTGAGCCCTGGGTAAACTGTGTGATCAGTTGGCATATTTTGTAGACTGTTTCAAATGATCTTTCATGTCATTTTTTTCTTAAAAAAACAGCATTATGTTTGCGTAGTACGTTTCCCCTCTTTGATAGCTTTTACATAACCAGATAATAAAATGTAAAGGAATTATGACCCTCAACTCAGGTTTACTTTAGTTTTGTTAAACTGGCATGGAAATTTGTGTTTGAAGGTTATCTTTATAAAACATTAGCTGGCCAATTCCTGCATCCTTACATCTGTTGTCAAGCTTGTAAAACATCTACTGAAAGTAATGGAGTTGACTTTGGTCTTCTGGTCATACTAGGCTAACTTCCACATATGTTGCTGTGGGGTATTTGGGACTATCTTTTTAGCTAGCTCATCTTGTACATGGGCCCAGGATATTCACATATAGGGATTTGACCTAAATTCCATTTAAGAAAAAGGTTTGTTTTGAGTTGCTACCATTTCGGTAATGCCGTTGCAGACCTGTGAGTTGTACTTGAGCTCTCAGCAGGCCTATGAGTCTTCAACCTATTTCGATATTCTAAGAATATCGGAGGGACCCTAGTTATCTGTAAATGCTCGGTGTTGCGATTGTGCAGAATACCGAAAGTTGCACTTGAAACTTGAACTCTCCAGTTAGTCATCTGTTACCCTCTTCTTGGGCTCCAAAATCACTGCGGACAGTGACTGCAGCCATGAAATCAGAAGATGATTGCTTTTTGGCAGGAAAGTGATGACAAGTCTAGACAGTGTATTGAAAAGCAGAGACATTACTCTGCCGACAAAGGTCTGTATGGTCAAGGCTATGGTCTTCCCAGTGGTCACATCTGGTTGTAGGAGCTGGACCCCAAAGAAGGCAGAGCACCAAAGAATTGATGCCTTCGATTGTGGTGCTAGAGTAGACACCTGAGAGTCCCCTGGACAGCAAAGAGATCAAACCAATCAATCTTAAAGGAAATCAACCCTGAACATTCATTGGGAGGATTCATGCTGAAACTGAAGCTCCAGCATTTTGGTCATCTGATGTGAACAGACGACTCATTGGAAAAGTCCCTGATGCTGGGAAAGATCAAAGGCAGAAGGAGAAGAGGGCATCAGAGGATGAGATGGCTGGACGGCATCACTGATGCAATGAACATGAACTTGGGCAAACTCCAGGAGATGGTGAGGGACAGTGAGGCCTGTTGTGCTGCAGTCCATGGGGTCACAGAGAGTCAGACATGACTGGGCAACTTAACAACACCAACATACAGTTTTCAAATAAAGAATGTATGATTGGGGAAAGACTCCTTCACCCTTTAGTTTCTTACTCCCTAAAGAGGACACTTGGTGCATCCGTGATAACCCCTTTGGCATTCGTCCTATGAGGCTGACTTTTCTTATGTCAGAGATTTTTAGCCACGAGTGAATACCTCTAAATAAGAGTTTTTCATCTCCATGGTAGGGTCCTAACTCCTGAATCAGAGGGCCTATCCCAGAGAGACCTTGGAAAAATGTTGGTATGGTGCCTGAAACTTTTCATTTGCCTTGAAACATGTTCTTAATTATACTTTTTATTCCAGTCCACCTCACTGATTAAATTAATTACTTTCTCCTCTGTTCTTAAACTTTTACTGTTGTGTTTATCACCTCGTATTAAAGTTAGTTGGGAACCATTTCCCTTTCAAAACCGTGAGCTCATCTTTGAACTCGCCACAGCACCCTGAATGGTTCTGACACATAATAGGCACTCAATAAAGGTTAATGAATTCAATGTTTCAGCATGGGATATTGAAACCAAATTTTTGAAGTTGAGTCGACATAGTAGTTGCCTCCTAGGAGGGGAACTAAGTGCCTGGGGAACAGCAGTGAAACGACTACTTTTCTTTTCATTTTAGTCTTTTAGACTACACTCATGTGTTATCCTTGCAAAACATAAATGAAGCTCTTAACAGCTATCATTTTTCAGAATTTGACAGGTTACCATCGCAAGATATTATTGTTTATTTATTTATACAAATAAACTAAGGTTAAATGATGGTTAATAACTTGTATTTTGTTACCTTGTTAGTGATAGAACAAAGATATGATGCCGTGAAACTTTCAGTTTCTCCAAACTGTTGAACACCGTCTTGACCACAGTAGCCTACCCCTTTTTTTGACATATAGCAAAGTGAAGTGGCTCAGTCATGTCTGACTCTTTGCAACCCCATGGACTGTAGCCTATCACGCTTCTCCGTCCATGGGATTTTCCAGGCAAGAGTACTGGAGTGGGTTGCTGTTTCCTTCTCCAGGGGATCTTCCCAACCCAGGGATCGAACCCGGTCTCCCGCATTGTAGGCAGACGCTTTACCGTCTGAGCCACCGGGGAAGTCCTCTGGAAGTATAGTTGATTTAAAGAAAAATTTTGTCACTCTATCTATTTATGTAGTTTCTGACTGTGCTGGGTCTTCCTTGCTGCTTACAGGCTTTCTCTGGTTGCAGTGAGCGGGGTCTCCTCTAGTTTTGGCGCGCAGGGCTCTCCTTGTGGTGGCTTCTCTTGTTGCAGAGCAGCTCCGGGGCATGCGGGCTTCAGGAGTTGTGGTGCGAGGGCTCATCCGTTAAGGCCGGCGGGCTCTAGAGCACAGGCTCAGGAGTTGTGGCCGCCAGGCTTAGTTGCCCCACGGCAGGTGGGATCTCGGTTCCCCGACCAGAAGAACCCATGTCCCCTGCATTACAAGGTGGCTTCTTAGCCGCTGGACCATGAAGGGAGCCCTAGCACAATGGCCTACCTTGATTTTGTTCATGCAGTCTGCAAAAGGTATCCATCTGACCTGGGAACCATCTTCCCTTATTCTCATGCTGTGTACATCACAGAAGCCACAGAACACAGCACCCCACTGTTTGAGGGGCTCATCTGTTTTAAGAGGCCATTGGCACAACCTCTCTGATAAGGTTTTGTTGGTTGAAAACAATTGTGCTCATGGTTCACCTAGGTAGCCCTGTAGCTCACAGAGAGACTCTTAGCCTTTAAGCAGTAACCATTTATTTTCAGCTAGGAAAGCCACTATCAATCAGGTAATGTTTTCTCAAGCTGAAAAAGGCTTTCACTAAGGCATGGAGATTGCCCAATGTCACATTTCTTTCCCCATCTACTTGTGGGAAAATGCAAACTAAAGGAACACTGGTGTTTGTACCTCCCAGTCTGTTCTACATTTGCGGGTGGGAGAGAGAGGCAAAGGGACTGTATTTCTCCTGGAAATATTGTTAATTGCTTTTTCACAATATAGATTAAAGCATAAAAGAAGCCCCCAAAGCTGATTCTAAATGGACCTGACACCTTGATCTTCTATCATGGCATAACATGTGAGTGGAGATTCCCAATGGACCTTGATACACTACAATATTTATTACTATAAAGATCTAAGAGTTCTTAGTCACTTTGAAACTTGTAAGAGCTGTTCAGATCCCACACACTGGACTTGTGCTTTCACATGGTGAAGTTTTTCTGATTTGTTTGGTGTAGTGTACTCAGAAGTACCTCCCGTGCCCGGTTCTGAATAATAAAATTAGGCTTTTCAATAAACTAAAAAAGTAGTGCTCAGATATGAAAGTATATCTGGGAGAAAAATGTTTTTGCTTTGCTTTTCTTGTCCATTAATATTTAGGGACTACAGAGTCTTCAGCTGACCCATTTTATGCCTTTGTATTTTTTTTTTTTTTCTCCAGAAAGCTTATTCATTAGTTTTCAAAGATTCAACCACACAGTGGATGGAAAAACCTCTAGGATTTTCTAAGCACTCAAGATTAAACAGTGCTCAAACTATTAAAAGTGAAATATAGTTAAAAAATAGGAAATAAAAAATAACAAATTCGGTACAGAGAATAAAGTTAAAAAATAGTAAGTAAAAAATTACAAATTTGGTACAGAGGAGAAAACCCTTCAAAAAATTATAAGAGTTTGTTATCAAAACAACAACTCTTAAATTCCAGCAATTATCATGGCTTTAAAACTGGAGTTTAGGAAGAAATCACCTCTTTACAAACACATCCAGAAAAGTTCTACAGTTCTTCTCATGTGACCAGCTGATCAGTACAAGAGGGTACAGTGTACAAGAACGTTTCCCATTCTTTCAGTTCTAAGTGAAGTAAATTATAACAAGAATTGCTACATATGAAAGAACTCTCCATCAGCAGAGGACTGCAGAACGTGGGCCTTGGAACCAATTCAGCTTTTACAACTGGTAAAGGACAATTTTGATTCGACCTCCCAAAGCTTTGTTTGCAAGGCTTTCAAAACATCTTCCATCTGCTTTAGAGATTTTTCTATTTCAACTCTACTTTCAAGATTAAAAAGCTCTTTGTCTTCTGACACAATTTGCTTTTCAGACGACCCTAAAACATAACTTTCAATAGCTTCAACACTGAGGCAGAACAAGTCCCTCTTGTAGTCTAGATCCTTGGGTGTACACCTGTACAGGTAGCCGAGGTTGAGCGAACATCCTGTGCAGTGCAAAGTCTCCAGGATGCAACCATTTTCATTTTTACGTTTGGATAGTATCTGTTCCTCATTCACAGAAACATTACAGGTAACACAGCGAAGCAAGATGGAATTGGTGTCTTCCTGGCTCGCCACCCAGCTCAGCGAGTCTCCCAGCGGCCGCCGGCAGCGCGAGCACAGAAACACCAGCGGCCTGTCCTCCTCCGCCGGCTCCGCAGCCTCCTCGCGCTGCGTCCTCTCAGAGCAGGCCACCGACGCGTCTCCGCTCACGGAGCTCCACATGCTCGCCCACTTCTGCAGCAGCTGGTGGCGGCTCGAGTCTTCCGAGAGCCGCTTGCCTAACAGCGAGGAGTCGCCCCACTTGCCCTTGTGGCCACATGTACAGCTAGTAGAGGAGCATCCTTCACAGCTATCCGCGGACCAAGCGCCCGCCATTAGCTACCTGCCTTTGTATTTTTATGTACAAAAAGGTACTAAATTTTGCCTATTGCATTGATATGATCAGAGTACTGATAAATTGAAAGGTACTGAGATGATACTTCTACCAGTTTCTGCTGTTGATGGTGAAATTTTCATTGTAGTGTGCTTTAAAACTATGGTGTCAGGAATCAACAATGGTTTATTATGGTTTAATTTTAATAATACTTTTTTGTGGGGGCTGAGGGGAGGCCATGCAACATGGCATGTGGGATCTTCCCAAACCACGGATCAAACCCAGGCCCTCTGCACTAGGAGCATGGAGTCTTAGCCACTTAGCACCAGGGAAGTCCCAATAATAGGGTTTTAAAAATTTAAAAATTACTAAGGAAAACTCTATAGTAATATTTACATTCACAAAAATAGTAATATGCAAATTAAAAGATATACTTATGTGAGACAAAATTATTTGAGGTTGTGATCATCAAAATTAATGTAAATTAATATAATTTTGATATGTGTCCTTACTTATGAAGGAAATCTAACTGCACTATATGAGGAAAGTTATATAAGTAAAGGGAAATAAATAGGATACTTAGCATCTCTACTTAAATACTGAGTTATGTGTAGCCCATTTAGCTTCTGTGCTGCATATTAAATTCCATGCATAATGAATAATAGTGGGTTTTGGTAACATTTGATTGCTTAACATACTCTGCTAAGCATTTCACATGCATTACCTTCTTTATTCTTCATAGAGATCTGTTGAGGTACATGTATTGTTAAAATTTCCCTTTTTTAGAGTAAAGGGGTACAGCTTAGAGAAATTATGGGTACTATACTACTTCCCATTTTGACAGTGCCATCTGAATTTCTTTATTGTGAACATGTTTTGCATAGATCTTTATTAAAATATATTTTTGATAAATGCATTTGGGGGATAGACAGTTGTATAGCAGAAGTGTGTGAACTTATTGATCAAATGGGAGTTTGATGTCATCTCTGAGTCAGACACGACTGAAGTGACTTAGCAGCAGCTGTAGCCAACCAGGTGTATTACCTTCGGGCTCTTTGTTCTTCAGAATTGTATGAAAATACCTGTCTCCCATGGTATGAGAGTCAATAGATGTAACATCTGTATGTCTTCTGACCATGGTTTGAATACATAACAAGGATTCATTAAATATTAGTTCTCTCCTTGTTGTGTGCTTAGTCGCTCAGTTGTATCTGACTCTGTGTGACCCCAGGGACTGCAGCCCGCCAGGCTCCTCTGTCCATGGGATTCTCCAGGCAAGACCACTGGCGTGGGTTGCTGTGCCCTCCTCCAGGGGACCCTCACAACCCAGCGACTGAACCTGAATCTCTATGTCTCCTGGATTGGCAGGTGGGTTCTTTCCCACTAACGCCACCTGGGAAACCCTTTCTTCTCCCCTTGTTTATTTCAATAATAGGAGGAGGAAGAGAGACTTTTACTATATCCCAGTGATTTTGTTTTCCTCTTTAGTATTGGATTGGCAAAAAAAATTCGCTTGGGATTTTCCTAAATATATTTATGTCTGTCATGTTTCCCATGGAGCATGATTATGCTGTTGTCCTTATTTGATCCCCAAGGAAGAAGAGAAGTGGTAGATCCCAGCTTGGAGGCCAGGTAGTTTAATTACAGAGCTTGTATTTTTTTTTTTTTTTGATTGAAGTATAGTTGATTTACAAAAGAGCTTGTATTCTTAGCTAAGATATAATTTTCTTGAAGGATATATATAACAGTGTATTAGATTGGATTCTGATATCTCAGGTCTTAACCATAGAAATTATTCACCCACCCACTCCTTCCTCCATCATCCACTTCTCCCCTGTTTAGATTGTGACAGTATGACTGTTCATTTCCTGATCTTCAATTGATTCCTACAGTAAATTTGTTCAGTTAAATGTTCAAGACTCTTCCGATTCTAAAATCTGTGACCCTGTACTGTGTGGATACACGTGCCTTATGCTGGGGCAGCTCTGACAGTCCTTTCAGGGAAAGGTACTCGTCACTGTGGCCTAATAGGGAAAATGGTGACTTAAGTAGTGAGGTGAAATTAGCCATTTCATGGGGCTTTTGTTGGGAATGACAGAACACAAATTAACTGCTCAAGCCTCTTCATCTCCTTAACAAAGAAGAACCTCAAAATAGTTCTGCCCAGTTGGATTTGACTTGAGTTGTATTTGTTTTTGTGTGTACGTACATTTTGCTCAGCCTACAAAAGATGAAGAAACAGAGCCATTTTGTTTGCCTGAGGAGCCGTCATTCTCCTAATTGTGTTAGACTGGCTGTTTACATTTGTTTCGGACTCTGTCTTGATATGTCATTGTCTCCGTTGCCTTCTTTTTTCCCCTTCTGTCTCTGTTTCAGTTTATCTTCTTGTTTTGATAATTCTTTTGTTTTTTTTTTTTTTCCTGTAAATGAAAATCTCTCCCAGGGATGCTGAATAGGTCATTCTTTTTATAACACTCTGTATATGCACAGAAGAATTTAGCTTGGCTGTAAAACTTGTTCTTGGCATAAATTTGGCAGATAGTTTTTAGCCTGGGTGAGACTTTTCATTGGGATCATGAAAGTGTTGGGGCGTCACTGCCTTCCACTCTTCCTTCTTCAAGTATGACATTAGTGGTTTTAGCTCTTGTTGACCCTTCTTTTAACCAAAGCTTTATAGCCTATTAGAGCACAGTGTGGATTTTTTTATGATATGTTGGAGGAAAAGAAAAAAAAAAAACCCTCTAAAGTTACAAATGGTTTCATTTACCAAAATGACTATTACTCTTGGAAAGTTTTGCCTTTTCTTTAAAATTTCCAGGAGTTGGGTGGGCTTGCTGTCCTCTATCCCACTCCACCTCCCCACCCACACATTCATGTTGGCCAAGAGGCTGAGAGCTTGAAGCATAATTCCAGACTTCTAGGAGGTAAATCATTTACCAGGGACTGAGCAAGACACACTTTCCTGCTATTATTTTAATCTCATATTTCATCATTTATTGGATCAAATAACAGTGTCATTTACTTAGGATCCATGTCAGCACCTTGAACTCCAAATCATGTATTACATGTCACCTTGTGAGGGATTCTGTGCATTGTCCATTTGTAGGCCTGCTTCATTAAAGGACTTTATTTAAGCATCTTCATTTTTTTCCAGGTTATCTGAGGTCTTCAATGTAATGAAAAATGTTTGCCCTGTTCGTAAAAATAATACAAGAAACCACTGAAGAAACCTAAGGATTTCCTGTCCAAAGCAAGCAGTATCCTTCAGTAGGTTATCTTGTACATAAATTTATACGTAAATGTAGTCGTAGCTAAGAAGAGTAGAAGTTGTGAGTCTTTTATCATCACAGATTAAATAACACAAACTTCAGGTAACCTCCTTGGGTTTCCTCCTTGAGTTTTGTCTCAGCTCTGGTTTATATTGAAGCCATATCTGCACCTCTGCTCTTTCAACCCTCTCTTTTTATGAGACTAAAAAGTAAATTGGGTGCTATTTAAATATTTCCTACTTATGTTTATTGAAAACTACCCTGCCGCAGGGCATAGCACTTTGAAAAACTGCTTTGCACCAGCCCAGTTTTCCAAACCCACATGGTTTACCCAAAAACCTGGACTTTGCTTTCCTCAGACCTTTAATTTCTTTAAACCAAATGATCACACAAAAACTTAGGAGGAGCCTAGTTTCATTTGTGAGGTTTTCAATAAAAGTTAAGTGGAGTGTGGCTAGAAAACCAGACCCTGAAAAGCCATGACTCTGCTGACACTAGAGGAAAAACCTACAGAATTCTTATACTTCCTGCTTTCAGTGTTGGGGAGAAGAGAAAAAACAAGAAAGATGGAAGAGCTTTAGTACTGGTCCACTTTAGGGAAAAAGGGGGATGAGGGAAGTTTGGTTGAGTTCATCTGTTACTTATCTGGTATTTTATTTAAAGTTTGCCCTATTTCTAGAAATTTTTGAAAATTCAGAAGAGTATTAAAAATAAAATTTAAAAACTAATTTCATTCCATAGATATAATTATTCTTAACATTTTGGTATATAACTTCTTAGTGTTTGACCTTTTAAAATTTATATTTAATATTGACCTAATATTAAATAATATTTTGTAGCTTTCCTCCTCATCATCATCAGATTTCCTTCAGGTTGTTCAATATTTTCCAAAATATAGATATTTTAATGATTGTATTCTCTGAATCATTTATTTGTGTAGTCTTCCATCCTTAAAGTTTTTAGTTTCTAATTTTTTCTAATTTTTTTTACCATGCTAATTAAGAATAAAATTCCCATATATAGATCTTTGGTTTATATGTTTCTAAACATTTAAAGAATAAATAATATCAATACTTTTCAACTATTCCAAAAAACAAGAGAGGAGAAAATACTTCTAAACTCATTTCATGATGTCAGTATTATCCTGATACCAAAACCAGTCAAGGACACAACAGGAAAAAAAAATCAGGCCAGTAACCCTAGTGAACAAGAGCTAAAGATCCTTAACAGAATTTAACAAAGCAAATTCAATAATACTTAAAAGGAGCCCCCACCATGTTTAACCAGAATTTATTCCAGAGATGCTAGGATGAGTTAGCATCTATAGATCAATCAATATGCTATACCACATTAATAAAATTAAGGATAAAAATCATATGATCATCTCAATAAATGTATAAAAAGCATTTGACAGAATTCAACATTCATTTATAAGAAAAACTCTTATTAAAAGAGGTATACAGGAAACATACCTCAACATAATAACTTGTCCATGTATAATAAGTCCATGTATGACAACTCAGCTTGTCCATGTATGACAAGTCCACAGCTAACATCATACTTAGTTGTGGAAAGCTGAAAGATTTTCCTGCAAGATCAGGAAGAAGACAAAGTTGTCCACTCTTGCCATTTTTATTCAGCATAGTATTGGAAATCCTGGCCAGAGCAATTAGGCAAGACTGCATCAAACTAAAAAACTTTTGTATGGCAAAAGAAACAAAAGAAAAATAAAA